AAAAGGTCAACAGTGGGCGAAACATCGCCACAAAGAACACTTGCACACCTATAAACTCTCACAATCCACGACGTTCATTGACTTGAAAAAGAAAACAAATTTACAGCCATAACTTTCAGTGTTTATCAACAATAGTCCAAAAAATAAGTCAAACAGAACAAAACAATAAAACAAAAACAATCACTGGATTCCCCTGTCTGTTGATTTCCGACAAATACGAAATAATTTTGATAAGACAAATGTGGTTGAATGTAAAGGTCGAACGAAAGTGTTGTGGGAACATCGTTTCACTCTGTGTAGAGCTTTATTGTGACTTAATAAAGCTCTGTACATGAGAGAAACGTTGGCAAGCTCCTTCTTGTGTTTTTTTTCCTACTTTCTGGCTTATGTTTCTGTTTCTGAGACTTAATAATGGTCCAGAAGCGTGCGAAACATCGTCTAAAGTGCCCCCTTTGAAATTGTGGGTTGTGAATTATTTTAGCCACGGTACCGAGATTTTTTTTTTTTTAGCCCTTATGAATTGTGAAGTCTATTGTTCACGATTTTTTTTAAATCACGGGTTTGTGAATTTTATTGTCTATTATTGTTCTAACCACTAAATTGCAGCTTTTATCTTTGGTGAATTATTTCAGCCACATTACTTTGATTCTAGTTTTGATTTTGAACTCTTCTATCGCGTGTTAGTTTGAACAGTTTCAACCTGTCGATTTAGAGGCAGAAATTGAGATCTCATATGAATTCTACTATTCTTTCCCTTCCCCTAAGGAAAATGCTTAGGTAAAGTTAGGCAGATTCTTAGATGGGTTAGATTAGGGAAAATGGTAACCACTAGCCACAAGATCAGGTAACCATGGGAAACGTCTACCATGAGATCAGTCACCTACCATGAGACGAATGACCATGGGAGCCACATACAATAAGGAATGACCAAGGGAGCCACTTACCATTAGAGCAGTGATCATGGGAGCCACTTACCATTAGAGCAGTGATCATGGGAGTCACTTACCATTACAGCAGTGACCATGGGAGTCACTTACCATTAGAGCAGTGACCATGGGAGCCACTTACCATTAGAGCAGTGACCATGGGAGCCACGAGGATCCAGACATAAGGTAGGACAGCGTAGCCTTGCCAGCAGTGGACGGGATAATTAAGAGCCATGGTAGTGGTCCAGGCCACCAGGAACATGAGCGACCACCCTGAAATAACACTACGTAAAGCAGCTACAGGCATCATTTATTTATGTATTGTTATAAAAATAATAGTAATAATTATTATTATTGTATGAAAGGCTAAATACGTTTGGGTTATTCAGAGCAAAAAATAACTGGAAGCTCGATCCTCTGTCTGATAACTGCGAGACGGAAACTATTGTTTGTGTTGAGCTTCAAGTCACGGAACTTTATAAAGCTCTGCATAGAGACATGTGTAGAATTTACAAGTTTCTAAGCGTGGCATTAGGAGTGACCCCAGCACTGAACCCCAGAAGAGAGTGACCCCAGCACTGACCCCCAGCAGAGTGACCCCAGCACTGACACCCAGCAGAGAGTGACACCAGCACTGATCCCCAGCAGAGAGTGACCCCAGCACTGAACCCCAGCAGAGACCCCAGCACTGACCCCCAGCAGAGAGTGACCCCAGCACTGACCCCCAGCAGAGAGTGACTCCAGCACTGACCCCAGCCGATGGTGTAGTAGAGTGTGAAAGGCGCTCCAGAGTCGAAGACGTTGGAGGTCAACCTCGAGTGGAGGAAGAGGCCCTCCACGAACATCCAGTTGATGGAGGCCATCTGAGCGTACATTCTGAGGGCCAGCAGTGCCTTGCACAGCCAGTCCTGCAACGTCAGTGCCAAGCTTAGTACACTGGTGATGGTGAACACACGGTGTACACACGTAAAATGCAAAATAAATGCGGGTATTATTGTGTACAGACGAAGATACATGACGGTAGGCGAGTGTGTGTTCAGTGACGCGAACATTTCTGGAAGTGAACGTGCGTCTAGTGAAGTGAACGCTTCTAGAATACAGTGGACCAGCGTATAATACAGTGGACCAGCGTAGAAAAAAGTGAACATAAATCTAGTAAAGTGAACGCACGTCTAATAACAATGAGCAAAAGTGAACGCAAATATAAAGAAACGAGTTCAAATGAAATAAAACTGAACGTAAGAATTAAAAAGCGATTATATTATTCAATAGAAAACGGTGGAGATAAATTTTGGGAATGGAAACAAAAAATATAACAAATTACTTAATTTTCTCAAAGTTTAAAGCCAGTTCTTCAGTAAGGAAGTTTTCTGAGTAAGTTGTTACGTTCGGATATCAGTCTTAGGAGGAGGCCTTGGGAGTCCAGTCTTAGGAGGAGGCTTAGGGAGTCCAGTCTTAGGAGGAGGCTTTGGGAGTCCAGTCTTAGGAGGAGGCTTTGGGAGTCCAGTCTTAGGAGGAGGCTTTGGGAGTCCAGTCTTAGGAGGAGGCTTTGGGAGTCCAGTCTTAGGAGGGGG